GTGTATATATATATATATATATATATATATATATATACATATATATATATATACCTTTTTCAGTTGTCACATCTTTTTTATTACACTTCACATCATTATCAATAATAATAATAATACCATTTGTTATCAGCAAAAAATTTTTGTTTAGAATTGAATTTAATCATTTATAAAATTAAATTCCAGTGAAACAATAAAAGTAGAACTATTATGCAAAATTTCGATACTGTAATTTTGTCCAGTTGTTTGTGAGGAGGAAGAAATTAAAGAAATGTGAAAATATTTAATTAAGTAGCATTTATTTCCTTTTTATTTACTCCAAATTAAAATTGCCTTCGAGGACTGGAGAAGTTCCTAATAACTTTTTTTTTCGCCTAATTAAAATATTTTTGGCAATAATAATCAAATTAAAGAAAAAAAAAATGCATATATTTATAAAAATTCTTTCTTACTGTTGCAAAATATTTTAATTAATAAATTCAAAAGACAATCTTTTAATAACTTCAAAATAATATTTTTGATTGCAACTAACAAAACAATTAATCTGAAAGGAATGGAAATAAAATGCAAATAATTTATGAATTAAAAATTAATATTATTATTTATTATCTTCTTCCGTAATAATCATCTGTTCTTCAGTTGAATCCTTGATAGCAACCGTTTCTTCCATATGCTCATCATTCATTTCAGTATAATCATTATCCGGAATTAGAATGAAACGTTCGATTGCATTTGCTGCTTCATCAACCATCTGAACTTCAATATTCTGTTGTTGATGCAGACGCTGATCTTCTGTATCCTAAAATTTTAAAGGATTTATTTATTTATTTATTTATTTTTTGCAATCTAAAAGAAAGTAGCAACAATATTTTTCATTAATTAAATGACTAATTAATTTCGTTGAAAGAAGTAATTAATTAATTTCCGTCATAGTCCTATATAATAACAAAAAAATTTTAGAAATATATAGTTCTTTCCTTGACCTACTTATTTTTTTATTTGTCACCTTTTTTATTTCAATCATTTAGTAACAACGAAATATTTTTAGATACCATGAAAGTATCATCATTTTGCATCATCTGATCGTTTTCCGTTTCACCAAAATCTTGTTTAACAGAACCGGAATCACGTGAAGTACCCAAGCCTCGTTTTATTTCTTCCGCAATTTGTTTTTGTCGTTTTGCTTTTTCACGACATTCTGCCAATTCTTTGGCATCCGGATACAGTATTAGCACTTTGCTACCGTCACGATCACGTTCAAGAACTGTCAATTCATAAAAATGCCATGGTTCCTCGCATTTCCAACCAATAAACTGATAAATATAAAATTGTTTAATCACAAATTAGACTTAATTACATTATTGCTAAGTACATTAAGTTAATTACACATACCGGAATTTTAGCCTACAGATTTTAGCCTTCACTTCAACTATTTCAATTAAATGATATCTAAATTCTGTTTTGTTTAATTAAGAAATTTAAAACATTAAAATATACCCGTTCAGGTTGAGATTTTAAATATAGACGGCGTTTTCCTTCGATATGCGAAGTGAGGCGATATTTGAGCAGCATATGGTGATTGTCCACACACCAAATTTGATCACTGTCCAATGTCTCCAAATCACAGTATCGAATCAGAAATGTACCTTTCTGAAATGATATATTATTAAATAATTTTTTCCAAAAAAGGAAAAAATTTATAAAGTGATAATTGCTATTAACTTATTTAAGGAAGTTAAGAAAACAATATGTTTGAGTTAGAAATTGAAAATACTCAAGTATACCGGAAATGCCATACGACTTTTTTGTTTGCACAGTAATTCTTCCATGCATTGTTTTTTTGTAGTTGACGATTTTCCAGTTACTGAATTATCCTCCTTCTAAAATTAAAACAAACAATTTATATCTTTGGAAAAATTTGCATAATTTTATGCTTAAATAAAATCTATAACAGCAAATTTTGTGCCTTTTTTGAAAAAAAGATTGTTTTAATATCAAATTGTATAGAAATGCTGAAAAAATAAAACTTTTTAGCATTAAATAACAAAACATATGAACTATTGATTTTTTTTCTTATTTTAAACTTCTTAACTGACCGTACGATCTGATGTGTCATCAATTGTTTCATCAGATTTTCCAACGACTTTCTTACGGGAACGCTTTTTTTCTTCTTTTCATCCTCATCAGCATTTGTTACTGCCAAAACTGCATTTAATGACTGATTTGATATTCCGGAATTTTGCTCTGCAAAGGTTTTTATCACACTTTTTACGGCAATTAATTAATATATGATAGGATTAAAATGAAATTAGAGATTTTTTAAGCACTTTAATCGAATGATTGCATTTATCAGCAAGCATGCATAAATAAATTAAAATAGGACGTTTTTAAAACACTGATAAGCACTTGAATAGTGATATTATTGCAAATATTGGGAATAAAAAAATTTCGAAATTGATAAGATTTAATCACTTTGAGCTTCTTTAACATTCGCTTCATTATTTGTCAAGTTTGCATCATTGATCGATTGATGCGCGATCTTAAATATATTATTGTTACATTATTTATGAAATAAATGAAATTAAAAAAAAAACGCAATTTTGATTCATTATATCATGCGTGTAGGTAACGTTTTTATTGCAATGATGAAAGATATGAATTATTGATTTTGTTTTTCATTTTTAAAATTTAAAAAAAGAATTATTTTGTAAGAATTGCATCGATTGGGTTAATAATGAAGTATTTGCTGGGTTAATAGCAAAGTATTGCTACCGGGTTAAATCGAATTTAATATTTGACGTGCACTTTTTTTTGCTAATTATAGTTAATGAGTATCTTCTGAAATGAAAAAAGTAACAATGAATTTTGAAATTATTATTTCAAATGATGGATCATAATAGCATATATTAATTAACCTGAAAAATTCAACCTGAAATATGAAATGTATACTATTACATCCCACATTAATTAAATTATATTAAATGAAATAATTACTTTTTTGTACGCTACAGTATAATTTAATTCTTCTCGCTATCCTCAATGCGTTGTCATATCTGCCATCAAATCTTTTTTTTCAGTTTATTCCTCCGGAAAATTCCTCTGCAGTAAAAATTTGCATATGATTTTTTATTACCTCGTGCAAAGCATCATTTGTTTTCCCACCACTATCATCATTGCTATCCTTGCGTTTTCTTCCACGTTTTTTCGGAATTGAATTTTCCGGAATAATATTCGGTTCGTTTGTACGAGTAGCATTATCACATAAGCGTTTGCGACCTCTTTTTTTAGTCTTTTGCATTAATTCACCTTACAAAAAAAGTAAATAAATATTTCAATTAAAAACTTTAATTATAAAGACATTCCAGTATTTCTAATTGTTATATAATTCCAAAAAAAAAAAACCAAAACGATGAAATAAAAGCGATAACACAAAGTAATAATTACATCTGCAAATTAATTATAAAAGTTCCTCCGTAATACCGTTAATTAATCGTTATATCATAAATTCCCAATGAAACATTTAAATTCTTTTTGCTTTTTTTCCAATTTAATTATCACAGGTAATAAATTCAAAATTTTGACAGATAAATTAAATTGTCCAATGTGCTTACAATGAAATGCGAAAAAGTTATGATAAAAAAATAATATAAATTATTATTACTTTGTGCAGTTGTTTGTGTCATAGCAATTGTTTGCTGTGATGATGTGATTGATTCAGATGGATTATTATTTGTAGCATTATCAGAAGTTGGAATTGGTAATACTGGTGCTCTAAACGGAGGAGGGACATAATCATTGGGTGAATAATTGGATGATGGTATAACTGATGATGGAGAATTTTGAGGATCTAAAATCAAATATCATTAAATGATTTGATAACTCAAATAAATCTAAACTCAATAATTAACAAGAAAAAAAATTTTTTTCAACAAAAATCAAACGAACAAACAATAATATTAATTGTTTTTTTTTTTTTACACAACAAATTCATTTAAATTATGGCAGAGTAATATATTAACCAGTATGATCTGGTGCTGTTGTACGTTGTATTTCGGAAAATAATGAAATTCTTGTAGGTGGCAAAGGATATGTCGAAACTTCTTCATAATTTGCAACATTACGATTATCAGCAATAAATCCGGTTGATTGCGGATCAGTGTAGTAAACCGGACTGATATTCAATCCGTTCATTGGTGGATATATCGTTAGCTTCAAATTTTTGTAAATAAAATATTAACAGGTAAATTTAGATGGGAAAAATAACAGAAAGAATAAAAATTGTTATTAAACGATATTTATGATATTAGGAGTAATTAATTAAAGATAATTCTTACATTAATAGGATTAGGATATTGTGCCGGATAGTTTGTTGGTGAATTATTCGACTGTGATGTTGCAAGTGATGCTACCGTTGAATGTGTCGGATCCTAAATTGTTAGAAAAATTTTAGAAATGAAAATTAGAAAAAAAATTAGGAAAAAGAGACGATTTACTGTAATTCCGATAAAAATTTATTCTCTTAAATGAAGAAATGTTTGAGCATGGAAAATTGCATATAATTTATAAAATATCCACTTAAATTAATGATTTTTTTCTGTTTATAAAATGCTATAAGAATTATTTTATGTAAATGACATAAAAATACAAATATTATAAGAAATTAACGAAATAATCTGATTAGTAGTAATATTAATTATTTAAGTTTAATTATTTATTAATGATATTAAAAAATTAGTTAGGCATAAATGATAAATTTTAGGATAACAATTGAAAAATGAAAGATTTATATTACAGGCTAATTTATTTTATTTGTTATTAATTTAATTTATGTAAATATATCATGGAATTTCATTTTCAGCTTAAATTTGTAGTAAAATTTTGATGAAATAATCGGAATTTCTGTGCAAAATTTTTCAAATTTTATGATTTTATTTTGAAATGATAAAATGAAATAAATAAGCAAACTCGAGAAATTTCCTGCGTTGCCATGCTATCATTATTCGATGTATCGATCATTTCCTCAACTGCTTCATCGATTTCTGATTGCGTATCATCAACTTCTTCATATACGTCCATTTTTCCTGACTTTTTAAATATTACTAGTAAAAATTTAAAAGTTACAAATCATTTTTGGCTTTAATCTAAAACTTAAATATTAGAAAAAATTCAAAATTAATCCAAAATTTTAGAATTTGATAAAATTTCTCAAACTTTAGACATGTGTGTATATGTATTAATAAATAATTGACCAAACTTGACAGGAAAACAACCGCTTATCGTACAGAAATATACCACAACTGAAAATATTTGTTATTGATTTTAGCAGGTTTTCATCATATTTTTATGCAAATTTCCAAATATTCCCATATTTTCCACTTTAACTTCTTTATGCAAATTTTTCATTTTACTTAAATTTCGCTTTCTGCGTAAAATTATTAATTGAAGAGGAAAATTTTTTAGATTTATTGGAATTTATTCATTATAAAATTTTCTATTTCATCGGTTAGTTGTGTTCATAAATAATTAATTATATTGGATGCTAGAAAAAGTTACAAAACAAAAAACAAAAAAACGTTTTAACATTTCCGGAAAAGTTTAACATTTCCGGAAAAGTTTTCATATTGTTTTATTTTATTGTCTAGAAAATGTCACAATTTATTAGCAAAAGCTGTATTTATTAGTAGTAATTTATTATTACAATCTGAATGGAATTTTATTCAGTTCAAAACCCTTATGCAAAATTGCTTTTCAATTTTATTTCAATTTATTTAAATATTAACAGCTTAGATAGAAAGATAAGTTTTGCAATATTAAAATGAATTTTTGCTAAATTTAGTCTGTTATTGTTTAATAGGATGCGAATTTTCACTGTATATTTATTTGTAAACTAATTTTATTTAGAATATTTAAAACAATTAGTAACTCAAATTAATTGGGTAAAAAAAATCGATCTAATAGTTCTGAAAGTTAAAAAAAAAGCATTCAGAATTTCATACATTTCTTATTTTAATTTCAATGAAATATGAAAAGGAAAAGGTCACAAGCCATCAAAATTTGAATTTTTAAAAATTTTCAAGATAATATTGAAATTTTTACTTTAGTAACTTGATTTTAATCCTAATAATTTAATAATTTGACACAATATTATGTATATGTGAATGATTTCGCAATTTTTTTTCCTTTATTTTAGAATTTAATATTCCATAATTCCAATCATCAATGGTATTTGAAATGAAACAAGGTGACCGAGTTCGTATTGCGCATCATGATTTTGCATTTTATGAACGCTTACATAATTACAATCAATTAGCATGGAGTTCACGAATGGCTACCGTATGTTTTTTAATAATAAAAATTTGCATTCAATAAAAGGAAAAAAGAAAAAGTTTGATTAATATTTTATAAAATGGTAAAAAAGATGAGAATAAAACTTTAATTTTAATAATTAAATATTTAAATTTATAGGTTATATAATTTCAGTATATTGGTAAAGTTGGTATTGTAAAAGATGTAACTATGGAATCGATCCAAGTTACAATTTTTAGTTGGGGAACATCTGAAGGTATGACAACAGCATCAGTAGCAACAACAACAACAACAACAACAACAACAACAACAA